CACTAAGGAATCTGGAATTCATATAAAGCATTGAGGCAAGTGGGTTTTGAAATCTTTGCTAAGAAGGTCTATAAGACATTTGACTTTATCAACCTAGAGTGCCATGGGAGATGTTTCCAATACATGATAAATTGGTGATTATTACATGCACCTCTGGCATATTGATGATAACATATAGCAGATTCTTCTAAGTAGTGCTTGAAATTTAACACATCTATTTTTAATCCTGTATGTTGGTACTATAGAACCTGTGGGTTCATGCAATAATAAATGGGTATTCCCATTATGTAGTTACTACTGCTTTATCCACCAACATGTGAAAGGATACTTTACACCTCAATAGTAAAATGTTTTGGCTAGCTAACACTAATAAGGGGCAACTTTACTACATATTTTAATTGTATTAAGGAAGACATGAACACTAAGTAGAATTCATTCATCCACATGTAATTAGACAAGTTCTTTCTAGTGTATACAATTTTTTTGTTTTTACAACTTTTTCCCATTTTGCAAAAGATAAAGAGGTGGTGGTAAAAGGTTTAAGAGTGCTTTAAATGGTTTTACCAGCATCTCCTCTAAAAATTAGAGTTGGAGCAACTTTTCAATCCAACCAATTAGATCTCTATAGATTCTTAGAGGTCCTCATCTCAAAACTTATAGCAATAGTGGAACAATATATTTAAGTTTAGAACTAGCATAAAGTCTATGGATGTAAGAAGGGTGTCCATGCTAGACTGCTACACATTCCTCAAAATTTGTTTGAGCAGAACTTCAAGTGAATTTTAATTTTACTTGTGACTGTTACTCCTTGTTTTTGGTTTTAATTTTAACATAGGATTTTTATTGGCTAGTGTCTAGCCTCATGCACAATGATATTATAATCCTAGATGCCAAAAGCATCAAGCCTTATTAAGAGTGTCTCTTTTTAGAGGTAAGTGGATCTATATAACTCTAACTTCATTGTTTTTGATCTTCTTTATAGCTTTAAACTTCAGTGCTTTTATACAAGATAGCATTCAAATAACATAGCATATAAAGGAGGTCTCAACAGGATATAGGGTTTTATTGATTGGTACCTTCTCTATTTTGACCTCACCCTCAAATGTGAGTTGGCTAGAGCTTAAGGTAACCACATTCAAGATCACATCACTCATACATCTTGACAGGGAGATTTGTTAGATTGTTTTAAGTGTTAGTGATCCATATCATATCTATATTTGCAACTGTCTCCAAGAGGCATGCACTTTAGGTGAGGGATTTCTTATTATAATTATGTCTATTACTAATTCTTATATCTTGCGGATGGATATTGGTGCTGATATATGCAAAGTTGCCCAATGTCAATGAAGCCAATTGACTATTTAGCTTGAGCCAAGCTAAGGTAAGGAATGCAAGGTAGGGATTCTTCCAGTTTAAGGTCATCCCAAAAACTACTGCCATCATATATACATATATAGCAAATTTAAATAAGATGTTTAAACTTAATTAATCATTTAATTAAAACATTTTTTAATTATCAATTTCAAATTTGCATATTTAGCTTGAGCCAAGCTAAGGTCAGGAATGCAAAGTAGGGATTCTTCCAGTTTAAGGTCATCCCAAAAACTACTGCCATCATATATATATATAGCAAATTTATATATATAGCAAATTTAAATAAGATGTTTAAACTTAATTAATCATTTAATTAAACATTTTTTAATTATTTTCTTAATATTATATTAATATTTATATTTTTTAACTATAAAGTTTGGTGGAAACTATGGAATGAGAATTGAGAGTAGTACTAATTAATGTAGTGATTATCATGTATGGGTGTTGAAAGCTTTCCAATAAACTCAATAGTATAATAACCACCAACTATTCTAATAAATCACATGAAAATTTGAATAGAAGTAAAATATGAATTATCTAGTATTTTTCTTACATTATCACCATTAGCTTATTCATCCTCGATTAAATTTAAATAAAAAGTTATATTAATGAATTTTTTATTGGATATATTTGATTTTTTATACCTTTTATTTAGTAATAATTATTAAATAAATATTCTTTTCAATTTTGTTATATCAAAAATTATAAAAATGATCCTATAAAAATGATATAAATGATGAAGATTATGAATATAAGATAAAACAGATGGAAATATTGTATCAATTATATTTCGAAAGGTCAAGTGTGATTTAATCTCTTAATATCTATTGTAAAAATAGAAATTATATATTTAAAACATTCCTTTCTTGCAATTTGGTGAATTCTATCAAAACATATTTTTAAAGCATTTTCAACCAAATGTATTATGTTACACACATAGACAAAATAAAAAATATAATTCGAGTTCAAGATAATAGTTAAACAATGAGCAAGAATTACACCAGTGTATATTTGTTATGTGTTGAATACACTAATATATATTTATCCATGGGTTGCAATGATCAGAAAAATCTACAAAACTCTTGGTCTCATACACATTAGCCATTGATGGAGGAGCCAGACTAAGCTGAATCTCCTCCAAATCCTGGCTATCCCTGAGCTTGGCCAGCTTCCCATGAGGTAGAGGACCCTCGTCAACTTTTCTCTTCCCAGCTCTACACAGCGACAAGCTCAGCTCAATCCCTTCCACGTTCCTCCCGTCCCTAAACTTGGACAACGTCCCTTTCGCCAAAGGCCCAAGCTTCACAGCCATCCCTTTCTCCACCTTTGATCCGGACAAGGTGCTTGCACTCGATTGCCCTAGTTCCATCGACTCGTCCTCCTCCTCGTCATTCTCTTCGCTTTGATCATTCTCGTCTTGCTGGCTCTCATCGCCCTCGTCTTCATCACTTCGATATTCTGGCAGTGGGACATCGCCATCTTCATGGGCATTCACAGAGAGTGTGTAGCCATCCTGTGGGTGCTGCTCGATGAATCGCATCTTGCAGCCGATGCAGCAGAACTTGTACTTGCCGCTTTCGAAGTCGATGAGCTGCGGGGCGGTGCGGTGAATCACGCTGCCCATCTTGAGCTCGCGGCCACACAAGATGCAGTGTTTGGGCCTCCCCCGGGGCTTCATCCTGGGAGCCGGCCTGTCGAGGAAGACGGAGAAGGCCTCGTTGAAGAAGTACATGTGCACGTCGCTCACGTCCACCAGGCGATCGATGTCTTTGACCTTGACGGACATCTCCCGCGACGTCAAGACGATCCGCAGGACATGGTGCTTGCTGCGGCGCCCGCCGTGGCAGCGCTTGCAGACCACGGCCTCGCAGGTGATGCAGAAGGACATCACCCGCTTGGAGCAGCTGCTACACCTCTTGCCCAGCAGCTGCTCAGGAGTTCGCGGGCCAGCGGCGACGAGCTCTTGCACCCATCCCGTGATTGTCTGGATCTTCTCCATTCTCTTTGCAGTCGATAGGTTTTACAAGAAATGGAAGAAGTCCTTTTATAAAGTACTCTAATTTAAAGGGAATGGAATTCTTTGATATGTAAAACGAGCTTGATTTTATTTTATTCCATTTCTGTTTCTTTGGTTGCGACTGTTTGGAATCAAACTCTAAATCCACCTCTAGCGCGCTGTTTATCTTAGGACTTGATTACAAGGATATAATTACCTCTCCATTGGGGATTAAGGTTTGCCTTTTCAAGCCTGTTTCTCGTAAGAAGACTTATCAGTCAGCTCAAAATATTTTCATTAAAGGCAATTTGAGAAAAAAAAGAAGAAGAAACCTGTATAAAAATGGCATATACATTAAAATCCTTATAACATGTTTAGAGCTCCAAAACCTTACGACGCATGAGCTTCTACGACCTGAATGAGGAGGTCGTGCAGCCGGGAAGGAGCCGACAAAGCTGCACAATGATCCGAATCGATGGTCACAACCTCTTTCAGGTTCCCAAATGGATGAGTCGCGATCCACTTGTCCTGCATTTCTGGAGGGCACGCCAAATCCTGCAATGTTTTGATGTACACCAGCGGGACACTCCCATACTTCTCCTCCGTGTTTGTGAAGCTTCCAAACAGGGCCGCGGTGGGAATTGCCCTGTCAAGCATCCTGCTCAGCGTCCGATCCTGGAACCAGAAGAACGCTAGCTCGGGCTAGTGTCAAAAATATGTACCTCGGACGAACACAGTTGATGGGCGTAATCGGGATCTAGGCTCTTTTTTTTCATGACGGCTGTAGGCAGATTGTCCTTCCCACGCTCGTAAAAGAGATCATACACAGAAGTGTCTTTGATGCGTTCATACCAAAACTGCAAAATGCAAAGCCTGTCAGTAAGATTAGAGCCTTTGAACAGTAATTTAACCTCAGGGCCTAGATGGTTGGAGCAAAATGGAGCTGCCAGATACACAGCCAGCGCGATCTTGTCTGGATGAAGCTCAGTCGCATAGGCCGCGCTCCTGCCTCCGAGGCTATGACTCACAAGAATCACCTGATATTCCAGAGCAACAAGATCATCTTTGGAGCAGCAATGCAAACACACACACACACACACACACAAGACTAAACCTTGTCATTCTCCGGCAGCGCGGCCAGGTACTCCAGCAGCGGCTGATTATAGTCGTCTAAGGAGAAAACATCCGCAGGAGTCCTGGTGTCGATTCCCGAAGCCGCGAGATTGAGCGCCTCTACTTCGTGCCCGGAGCTGAGCAGCATATCGACCAGCTTGAACCAGTACCAAGCGCCTCCCCCACCGCCATGGACGAGCACGAAATGCACCATTATGAAATTAGGGCTACTGACAAGGGCTTTGCATTTGCTGCGTGTAAAAAACTTGATGGTGGCCGTCATGTTAGTTTGTTTAGCGTGTAAAAAACTTGTTGGTGGCCGTCATCTTACGTCATTTAGTTTGTTAAAAGTATCTTTTGTTCACTTGGTCAACTCGTCAATTCTTTACTGCAGACATGTGAACTAATTTGTAGACCGTAGCCCACTTGTAAAGATCCAGTTGTCTTGCACCTAATAGATAGCGTTCTTCTAGTTTCTTTCCTCTACGCTGTTCTATGGGGGAAAACAGGGTTCTAGTGGTTTCCGCGACTGGCTATATTGGCAGGCATATTGTGAATGCCTGCTTAGAACAGGGGCATCCAACGTTTGTGCAAGTTAGGCCGGAAGCTGCAAGGGATGTCGAGAAGGTGCAGCTTGTCCTGAGTTTTCGAAGAGCCGGAGCAAAGATATTTTGGGTAGGTCTTGCAACAGATCCGAAACATGTTTTGCCTCATGAATGTTTGTGTTTGCAGGTGTCTTTAGATGACCACGATGAGCTTGTGAAACTACTTAAACAAGTGGATGTTGTCATCTGCACAGTCTCTCATTTCCATCTGGATGAACAATACAAACTTATCAATGCGATTAAAGAGGCTGGAAACATCAAGGTAGATGAATCACATATCGGCCTCCCCAGTTCCTTGTTTCCTTTGTTATTGCAGAAGTTTTATCCTTCCGAGTTTGGAACGGACGTGGATAGGAACCCACACATACCACCCGGAGATAAGTTATTCACCGACAAAGTAGCAATCAGAAGAACTGTGGAGGCTCTTGGAATACCTTACACTTATATTTCAGCAAATTGTTTCATGGGATTTTTTCTGCCCAGTTTTGCTCAACTAGAACCTCTGTGCAAGTTTGTTCCTCCAGGGGATAGCGTTGTAATCCATGGCGATGGAAACGTGAAGAGTAAGTGTAGAGTTTTGTGTCTTGAGCTCAATTCTGACTGGATTTCTTTAGTCGTTTGGATGGCTGAAAAGGATATAGGAACTTACACTGCGAAGAGTATCGATGATCCCCGAACATTGAACAGGACTGTCTACTTCCGGCCGCCCAAGAACGTATTGACAATGAATGAGCAGGTAGCCATATGGGAAAGCAAAATAGGCAAAGCACTGAAGAAGAGCTACTTGAGTGAGAAGGAGCTATTTGCCAAGTACATACAAGGTAACGTTCAAGAGTAGCACGCTAGTCATGCTCAACACACTTGTGAATGAACGGCAGATGAGAAGCACCCTTGGTTGACCAGAGCAGCAGCAGCACACATGTACGAGATATTTCATAGAGGAGATTTATATTTCGACTTTGGACCAGATGATTTGGAAGCTTCTGTTCTGTATCCAGAGGTGGAGTATACCACAGCGGAATCGTATCTTGAGTTATTCGTATGAACCAATCTATAGTTCAAAAATTGGATCATGGTGATTCTCATCTGATTTAAATCGTGTTATATTATATTTACGAAAAGTTGAAGTGTGCTATTTCAACAACCGTGTGACTAATTTCTTGTCCTTCTTTCATCTCAGCAATTTCTGTATATTAATGTCTTACAGCTCTGATATACTAATAATCTTAGCACTACAAGCTTCCTGGCATAAAACAATCATACTGTGAGGATAAAATTAGAAGAACCAGAAGACAGAAGATGGGATTTTAATACATCAAGTAAAACTTCTGATTTGAAGTTTCTATAAATAGAATAATATTAAATATTATGAAGGAAGGAGATTTTAGAATATTGTGGGTGACCATTTTAACAAGGCTATGAAGCAAGAGGTTTGCAAAGCAATGAAGCAGGAGGTTATTGATGGGCACTTTAATTCCATTCGTAATTACATCAGGATGATGTGAGGGATTTAATAGTTATAACTATTGTAGAAGCTATAGAAAGCCAAATTCATGAAGAAGGTTGCTGCGGTTTTGGTTGGCAGAAGACTTGCATTCTATATGCTTATATGTAAGTAGTAATTCCAACATAAGCATATGCAATATTATAACCTATACTACTTGTTTAAGGCATATTATGATGTATATGCTGGCATTATATATTTGATAAATTGGCAATGGATGATATGTTGCCACCAAAAATCCATTGCCCTTCAAGTCGTCTGAAGAAAAATAACATTTATATTGAAGGCATTAGATGACAGAAATGGGTTTTCCATTGCTGATGATGCATGAGATTAGCTCATCAACACTCTATATGAGCCAGTTTTTAGTTGATTTGAGCAGTGTTATATACAATTCAAAGTAGTTTTGGTGGTTTTAAATTATTTTGGTGTAAGTTTTACGTTTATAAAGCTAAGTGGTAATTAACTCAATATAAATAAATATAAATAAAATCATAAAAATATACTCTACAAAAAGGTTTATTTGATGAGGTTACTTTTATATAAATAATAATTTTCATTATAAATATTAAATACTTCAAAAAATAAAAAATTATATGTTTCTATGTTATGAGCTCCAAATGTACAGCTATAATGCTATATATTATTATTAGTATATTGGGATTTTGATAGCCACTAAATTAATTTCAATTTGGACCACTCAAAACTAGGGATTTTGAGCTAATCCTGATTTGATGTAGATAATCAATCTAAATTTAATCTAAAGCAAAGAAAAATAATATTTTGAGAAATATATTAAATGTGATATAATTGATACTTGACTTTTTATATAGTTGAATGTTTTAATTTTTAACCCTTCTAAATTTTAATTTTAACAGTTACTCATTACTATATATATATATATATATATATATATATATATATATATATATATATATATATATATATATATATATATATATATATATATATATA